TATTAGTTCATTAGTAATATATTTATAAAAGATGTGACAGGGAAAACCGATCTCTGTAATCATTTAATAAGTATCCAGCACTAACAAAGAATTCTTGTCATATGATTAACAGTTGGTCACAACATTTTATACTTCATTCTATTTCAAATTATAAATTTGAATAAATACTGGTTTGAGATTTATATTGGTAACAATGAAATCAGATTATTCTCTTGTTTTTAGACATTATTTTAATTAATAATAAAATCTATATCCTTGTATGATGAAAAGTTCTCTGCTTGACCCACTTCCTAAAAATCAATATTCATATAAAAATACTGATTTTAGGAAATCAGTCAGGTTGAGAACTTTTGAACACTCTCATAAGTATTTTATTTATGTTTCTCCATTACAGACTACTGTTATATATAACATTGCACAAAATCTTCTTTCAGGATTACCATGAACAGTCTTTTTGCATTTCCTTCTCGTATTGCAATGGAAATTTTAGTTTTGGGAAAAGCTAGAAGTTACAGGGAGCCAAATTTGAATTCTACAGGAAGGCACTAAGAGACCTAATTGATGCTAAAATTTGCCCTCAAATCTTGTACTAGATTTCTCTTTTCAGATCTTATTCTGCAACTACATTGTTTTAGTGTTTGCAAGTTTTTATAATACTTGCAAAATTAATCATCATTCCCTTTGGCATAAATTCTGTACAAATGACACTTTGTCACCAATAAAAATTGGTGAGTACATTTTTTGCACTGATGGAACTGTTAAATACTTGTAGAGAAACTATAGTTTGCCTTTTGTTTTCTGGTCATAATGATGAACCAAAGAGTCATCCCCAGTGGCAATATTCATGAGAAAATCACACCTACTCATGATGATATTGAATGACGAGTTCTTGACAAAGATTTTCTGCTCTTCCTTCATGGAGTCAGTTGTCAAAGGATTAATCTGGCAGATTTTTTTTTTCTGTAATTCAACATCTCAATGATATTCTGCACTCTTTCTTAAACAGACATTGCTCTGATTCTAAATATTAATTTAGAATCAGAGCAATGTCTGTTTAATTTAGTTTTCTTTAATAATGGTATCTATTCTTTGATTCTCTTAGAGCATCAGAATTTTTTGAACTGGTCTTTGCTCATTAAACTCGATTATTTTGTCCACTGCAGCATTTGGCATGTCAGACCTACAGAGTCATTTTTCACATTCATACAACCATTGTCATAAATTGCTTTCATACATTTGGGAATTGGAATTGGCACCAAATCTTCTAGCCCCCAAAATTCTATAAATGACCAACAATTTATCAGGTGTAGAAGTTATGATCAATGAATGCTATTACCAAATGCTATTGCACAAGGAACTGATATTAAGCACATTTGAATAGAACTTTATATACTGCTGCATAGATGTTCAAACATTAATAACAACACAGCACAGTAGGTGAGTTATACATCAACCCTTATAAATCATAACAATTTACAAATCACACTTTAATGAATGAGTGAATGGTTACAGGGCGGTATGCTGAAAGTTATTTAAACCCAGGCAATGTGCAATAACCTTGTTATATAACATTCACAAAGAATATTAATAAAAATTGGCAACTGTGATAATGCATCTGCAGAAACATAAACATGTCATTTTTTTAGTCAATTTACTACAAAAACAGGTAAGTCAAAATTCTCCTTGTTATTCTCTACAGATCCAAATATTTGTTTGCCTTCAGAGAAAATCAGTGTCTCTCATATATATATATATATATATATATACATACACACACACATATACACGTGTGTGTGTATATATATATATATATATATATATATATACACACACACACACACATGTATATGTGAAAATTTAGATATAAATATATAAGTAAAGACAATATAAATAAAAGAAAGAAGTTTTCCTCTTGCCATTTCTTTTATTTATACGTTTTCTTAACTAAGATAATACCAAAGAAAAGGTGCATACACCTGTGTCTCAATTCATTAACATGGAATATTATGGATCATAATAATATTAAAATTAAATATATGCCATGCCGTTCCTCTTGGATCATTGTCTATCAAAAAATGTTAAAATACACTACCTTATGTGTTTGTAATCAGTGTATCATTGATAGTGACAGACAGTGTTTAAGCAAAACAAACCCTTAAACATTAAATAAAGACTTTGAGGATCTAGGCATACAATTTACAAAGCATAGATGGACCAGCTAATGATAGAACTGTACAACAACATCTAGCACATCATAGGTATTAGATATTGAAAATTCCTTACAGTTGAATGTAATTTATCACCTTTTTTATTCTAAGGGAAAAGGAGTACAAGTTTAGCTTTACTATTTTAATCAATAATAACACTGATAATAAATTTTCAATAGTATATCATTAGATATTTTATATATATCTCTCTCTCTATATATATATATATATATATATATATGTGTGTGTGTGTGTGTACACATTATAGATGTTATTAGATAGATTATGCAAAAGATACACTCTAAAGGTAATCTAAGTGTATGCACTAACTTTAAAAAAGTTCAGAAGAGAACAGAAGATGTTTTATGATGAATTCAGCACAATTATGGACAGAGAAACCAATTAGACCATTCTGATGGATGGCTTAAATGCAAAAGTAGGAATCGGGAAAAATGGAGAATCTAGTGTAGGAAAATTTTAAATAGCAAAGAGGAATGTAGAAGGCAAAATGTTATCTAATTTCTTAGAGGGATACAAAATGACAAAGATGAATAAATTTTTTCAGAAGTGAACAGGCTGTAAATGGGAAATAAAAAATGAAATAGATTTCATAATTGCTGACAAAGTTAGGATGTAGCCAGCATAAACTTAATATAGGAAGTGATCATAGAATTGTTGCTTGCAGAGTCAAATTTGACTTAAAAATTAAGAGAAACAGAATGAGTCTCAAAAAGGAAACAGGTCTTAATAAGATAAGTAAGAACGTCATGAAGAGATAGAATAGAAAATGCAGAGCCAAACATTAATCAAGTAAAGAATGATAGAAGAGAAAAGGAAGATGATCACAGAAAGAGTAGAAAAAGCTATTAGAAAAGATAAGCACTTGAAACATGTTCAATCCCCAGCCCACAGAGATAAACAACAAATGCTTGCATTAAAAAACAGAATCAAGGAAGTTACCAACTGTATGAATAAGATGTTAAGGATAACTAAAGAATATTATGCAAACCAGTCATCTCAAATTGAACTTGTAACAATTATTTTGGCATATACTAGTGATGTTCTAAGACAAAAGACAAAATAATGTTTGTGCTTCAAAATGTGAAATGCAGAAAAGTAATAAGCAAGAATAGCATAGTAGTAAAAAAGAAGCAGAAGAATTTTTGCAAAAGATTAGGACATTTATTTACCCAGTGTATATGAAAAGGTACCCCAAGTCTTCAGTGTAAGTCTATGTTATAAAAAGGAGATAATAAATACTTTGGCAACTATTACCCATGAAAATATATAAAATATTCTCAAAAGGCCTTACAGACTAACAAAGGAAAACTTGATGAAAATCAGTCTTGCAAACAGGCAGCTTTTAGGAGCAGTTACTTAACAATAGACCATCTACAAACAAAAACAAACTGATTGAAAAAATAAAAGAATATAACAAACTACTTTGATTGGCTCTTGTTGACTATGAAAAGTTATTTGACTCAGTAAAACACAGTATTCTAAATCACTATGAAGGCAGAGTATAAACCAAAAAATTTACAGAGATATATATATATATATATATATATATATATATATATATATATATATATATATATATACAAACATACAATAATAGTACTGCAATAATTTCACTATACAAAATATAAAATAAAGATTAAAAAAAGCAATGAAATGACAAGATATGAAGTCAACTAAATTATTTACATCAAAGTATCTTTCATAAAGTGAACTGGGATGGAATGGGAGTAAACATAAACAGAAAATGTTGAATCCTACTTCATCTTCTGATGGACTTTATCAACACATGACACAGTGTTGAGTAGAAACAACCTTCTCTACACTAATTGTTGAACTAATTGTTCATTTACCATGAGTAGAATGTCTGCTCATAGGAACAGACGTTGCAAGGCATAGCGTTTGAGTCATACGCATTGCCACACTGAACTATGGTATTCTCTATTAGTGTATTATTAATCCATGTCTCTCACATGATTAAACCTGTCCTTCACTTGACCTTTTGTTCCAGTGTTTCCTTACAGTATTATTAACCAGAACTACAAACGTTATACAAACTTTATAACACATAGCAAGAAGGATAAGAAATGAAGAAAAAAATTCATTAAATGTTGCCTAATGGATAACATAATAATCAAACACTGGACGCAATATGGACAGAGGAGATAGATATGATACAACATGGTAGAGAATAATAATATTGATTGTTATACATTTTGTAAAAAACAGTGGATTTGCAATGGACAATGATAAATGTTTCAGATAGAAATATCCTAAAAATCTTAAATTCATAAAAATACACTAAAATCTGTAAACCAATAGTAAAAATAACAAAACAAAATTTATTAAAACAAAGCAAGTTCAGTTGACCATTGATGACAATTGCAGAAACTATAAACAATTTTTTTTTGCTATCCATTATTATTTGACAATAAAGTAATTAAAAGTAATATGATTTATCAGTGAATGTTAAATATACAGCAATAGAATTTGTTGGAAATAATATCTTCAGATATTTCTTAAAACGGTATTTATAGACATATATGTTAATTTACAAACTGACATTAGTTTCTAGAATATAAAAACCAAATATTTATTATCTATTTTGTAATTTTATAGCAAAAGCAGTTTATTGTTAGAAGAAATTGTGACAAAAAAAAGAAGTCACCTACCATTTTATCAACACTGATCTGTGTTTGTCAGTAATCAAATAACCTGGAAACATTCATTTACATGCAAATCTGTAACAAAAGAAATCTGTTTGTTCAAACTTACCTAAATGGTAAAATCCAGCTTCAGCAACCCATTCTCGACTTGGCTTCTTATGAGGCCAAGAATGGAAAGTACGTATACGTTCATGAACTGATGCATATCGGGGCATAGCTGGAGTTGATGAATAACCAGTAGTGTGCTGAGCAGACTCACCAGGGTACACAGGAGTGGTTGATGATGGTAAAGTGGGGAGGCCCAGATTCTGAGGGTAGGGATACTGGGACGGCAAAGTGGTCTGAATACTGAAAGGAATCCGAACTGGTGCAGACACACTACTGGGCAAACGACTGGACAATGAATCTCGGACTTCTGAAGGCCAGCCATTTTGGGCAGCAGAATGCAAACTAGATAACTGGGATTGCGGGGTGGGGTTCTGACCAAACCTTGTGCGAAGTGCTGCATATGGCACATAATCTGGCTGGGTGGCCGCAGAGTGGAACCTCTCAAAGCTATTTGATAGGAAAGGGGGAAAGGATAAGTGGGTAGAGTTATAGATGCGATCATTCATGTCCCTCTCCTGGACAAATGGACAATATGGAAAATGACGCCGATGTTCCTTCTCTACACTGTCTCCAGGTTGCCAGTCATCTAACATTCCATGACAATATACACATCGGACACGGTCACCAATGCCTGTGTATTCAAAGCCGTTGTTGGCTAGCTCCACAGGACTGATGATATGACTTTTAGGAAAATGTGCTGTTTGAAAAGTCTTTAGACATGTCTGTGGATCACGCCGAGCATCAGTGACATTTAGCATGGTGCTCAGTGAGTTGACAGAATTCATTTAATTTTCTTTACCTTTTCTGGACAGTGGGGAAGTAAAAGGAAGTGGGGAGGGAAAAAAAAAGAAAAGAAAAAGCTTATCCCACACTGCAAGGTTAAAAAAAAAAAAAAAAAAAAAAAAAAAAGGCTTCTGATAAGCCAACAAAATGTCACAAATCTTTAGTCACACCATTGTTATCTTCCTTTTTGTTACCACAGACATAAGATGACACAGCAGTTACTTGTGGTTTGTAAGTTTTAAAATCCAGACTTTCCAAAGGGTGGAAAGTTTCCACCTGAAAAAGAAAAAAAAAGAGGTAAATTTTAGTTATTAATTTCACATGAATATATTAATATTCAATACCATTGTTACATATTCAATCTTAAATTTCCTTTTAAAAATTGCCAAAATTTTCTGTTATTGAAAGTATTCTGATACAAACTGAGATATATATATATATATATATATATATATATATATATATATATACACACACACACACACACACACACAAACTAAACAAAAAAAAAAAAAGAAAGATAGAAACCTGCTTTAGTCAAAATGAATTTAGAACCTTGAGAACTGTAATATCTCAGAGCTATTTATGATAAACCAAATTATAAATTTCAGGAAGTCTGGTTTTTAGACATGTTATTTAGTGATCTACTTTTCATGTGCTATAATCTATCATGGTGGCAAAGCCATACTGGCATTTTTATGACTGCAACTGTTTGACCCATAGAACTTTAGAAATTTTAAACTTTTTTGCTAATTTATATGAATAATGTGATGATCAAAGTTCTCTCTTCCTTTACCATACATACCATATTAAATAATTGAAAAGACAAGCAAGAGAAAAGCATATAAGAACTTATGAATTTAACAGATTTAGCACTAAAGGATTTTAATGTTTTTATATCTTTAATTGTTAAACATCAAATGATATTAATTATGTAACATCCCCTTTTTGAAATTCTCACCTATCTTTATTTTAACCATTATGATTAAATGGACTAGTATTTAATCTTAATTTTTAGTTGCTTTTTCTTACAACTTTTGCTCAGGACATCTATATGTGACAGGGAGTAGACAGCATAAGATCCAAAATAAAAGATAAGTTCTAGGTGAGATTCAAATTCAAACTTGTGTTGATAGCTTCAGTAAAAGTTGTGAAAAAATTAAAAATTAAGGTAAAAATAAATAATAGCAAAATTAACAATAGCTGATAATGGTTCATCTAATAAAAGTAAAATAAAGATAATACTGCTGTTACTAATACTACTGGTATTAAAAAACAACTACATCATTGATAAAGATCATGACATGAAGTGATGGAATGATATATCAGATTTAGTCTTCCACAAAGTTATTAAGTTCTCATAGTTTAGTGGCTAAAATAACTGGTGCATGCAACTGGGCTTCCCCAAAGTAAATGGGACTTGTTTGAATATCACCGAGAACTTATCCTTTATTTCCAATTCTGTTCTAACTGCTGTAAATGGATGGTCTGAATAAAAGTTACAGTAAAAACAAATACAAATTAAAATATAAGTATGTACTAATGAAAATCTTTATAGAAAACACAATGTAACTTTATATATTTATTGGTTACACAACTTGGTTTCCCTCTACTTGATAACGAGATATTCTATTACCGTAATAACGAAATATCTCATTACTAAATAATGTAATCATATTGCTAATACACTTTTATTTCATGTTAGTTTTTGTTGCATATTTTTAATAATATTTTAATGATTTTAAAAAGAATTCATTTCTCAACAAAAAGTTGTAGTCAAGGGAAGAATATCTGAATTGGTTCGTGTTAAATGGAACCTTAGGAAAATAACAAGTGACAACAGAGTTATATAATAATCTACAAATAGTGTGTATACATACATTTTTTAGTGTATGGAACACTTTTCTATATCACAAATTCTTATTTGAAAAAAAAAACTTATATACAATAAGATGCAAATATATAAAAACATCAAAATCTACCTACAAAATCAAGAACACTGCATTAACTCATTTCTATTCCAATAGAAGCAGGAATTTGCACAAACATAAACACAAAGGAACACATAATAAAGAAAACTTTTCAATATTTTTATCTACTATTAAAAGTTATTTTTTTAAATACTTATTTACTATAAAAACTAATATTTTATACTCCAAGCTAAAAGATATGAAGTATTCAAAAATAAATTGTGATAAGTACAAACATTGGATAACTCTTGAAGTAGAGAGCCATAGGAACTTGATCAGAGCAAACTACAAAAATTGTAAAGCAATTCATTAAGCAGCCAAGAAATGGGGTAGAAGTTTAATTGCAATCAATCCATTCTGAATCATTTGACTGTAATCAGTAAAATTTTAAAACTTTGAAATTGTATTCACTGATAGCAAACAAGTGAACTTGCCATTTTGATAAATGTGCATTTGATTTCTCTGAAATGCACAGATATTTGGACATCATCATGACAGGTGATGAAAAGTGGCGCTTGTATATCTACATGATAGATAAACAATATTGAACAAACAATAATATAGTGACCATAGTCACACCAAAGCTAGAATTGCATCAGAAAATTTTTCTTCTTTGTTGTCAGTGGAATGTGTGATGTATTTGGAATTGCCTAATTTAGACTACCACTATGTACTGCACACAATTACAGATTATGGATGATATAATTGCTGTAAAATGCTTATAGAAGAACAAAATTTGCTGGTTATATACAAAATGTCAAACCATGCATTCTATCACAAGAAAATCTACGATTTGTCAAGTTAGCTGAGAATTATATGTTCTCTAACTTTGAAAAAGAGCCATTAACAAATCTAGTATTGTCCAGACACTGAAATCCCTAGAAGAGATTTGAATGTCTGAACAATATTGAATAATAGTGATTATGTTGAATAACTGTTTTATTTCTTTTTGTGACACAATTTTGTTGCTGCACAAAATGTCTAGAGAATTTCTTGTCAATTTAATATTCAAAAGTTAACAGACTAGAATTTTCCATTTAAAAATTCTTACAATTAGACAAAAGGTCAAGCTGCTTACACCCTCAAAATATCATTTAAAAATATATTTGTATACTATTGTAAAATTGTATTATCAGTTACATTTAAAGGAAAATATGCACACTAATTCACTTATCAAATAAATTTGTTATAACAGTCAAAATTTTTGTGTATTATCAGTTTTATTAATTTTAAGAAAATTAATGACATCTAAATCTCCTAATATAAAATATACATATATAATTTATTTACTGATTTATCTAAAAGATAAAATTACTTCTGAGTATGTAAATGAGATCTCAGCACTTGATGTTAATTTTATTTGACAAAAGATTCATAACAGCTTTCACCTGGTTTTTATTTGTATTTTAACTATTTCAGTTCATTGTCTGTCAGCTTCACTGCATATTATTAACATTTAAAATACACTTAACTACCAATGTCTGGATTGACTTATTAGAATATTCAATACATCCAATAATAATAATTGGCTATTTTAATTACAAGTTCAACGGAATTCATTAAAGTATTGAAATAAGATTTCCACATCAAAAACAGATAGATGAATTTCTAAAATCTGATACTAAAGTAATTAGAGAATTAGTATTTATCCTGGTGGTATTTCATCTGCTGTAAAAATCAGTGTGACTAAAGACCTAAAAACTTCACTAAAGATAAAAGTGAGAATACAGCATGCTGTCAGCATACTTTACATCATGGCTGGAAAAAAAGAAAGAGGAGTTTATTAAAAAAATGAAGCAAACTAGAGAAAAGATTTGAGTGTACTTGGTGAATCTATGCTAGTAAACTTTAACGCTTGGTAGTAATGTGTAGTTCAAATGTCATCTAAGTAACATGAAAATTTCTCCAGTTTAAAGAAAACCAAATGGATTATGAAACTTTGCACTTATGGACATTTTATACAGATTTGCTGAGAGAAAAATAGGCCATTGCAATACATCTGGATTTAACTGGCAGAGCAAGACTGGCATCATCTGTGCTGCCCATACAAGAAATGAGCACTGAAAATGAGTACCAATTGCTTATTGACAAGTTTGATCATGTGTTTCAGCAAGATTAACAACTGGAAATGCTTTAATGCTTATTTAGCATTTGAAAACTTAAAGTCAGAGCCTAATGGAAACATTGAAGAATACTTGTGCTTTTGATAGCAAACTACATAAGCTAAAAGAAATCAATGTGAAACTACATGATGCCATACTTTCATGTAGGTTGTTGAAGAACCACAACCTAAGTGACATACAATTCCAATTAACCTTATTAACAACAAAAATGACATTTAATAACATGAGATGAACATTGAAGAAACTATTTACAAAAAGCAATGGGATAGTGGTTGCTCCTGAAAGTGATTGTGCTAAAATCTTAGTCAAGAGTGAGCCAGATATGGAGACTAAATCTCTTCACAATAGACATAACTGTGGGCAATACTAGGATTAATCAACAGCCATATAGTAGTAAAGTTACCAAGGAAAAATAAGAGGAGTAAAAAATAACCCATTGGGTACTGATGACAAGATTAAACCATTTTTTATTTGAGGATCTTGCAAACATTGGGCTTTTTTCCAGCCATGACAGAAGGTATACTGACACTTTGCAAGGCCCCTTAAAAATTACATAAGGTGTTTTTAAGGTTTTTTTTCTTCCTTGCTGTTTTTCTATTAATAAATTTAAAAAGACTTTAAAGATTTTTATGATAAATAGTAGTATTCCCAGAAAAGCAAGTAGCAAAGAATTCGATATTTGTATTATCATATCAGGGGTTAAGAGTCTAGAAATAAGGTAATCCCCAAAATTAAAAGATTAACTCATTATAACTATTTTCCTGTCAAACTGGATTAAAAGAAAGGTATCTATTAAAAATATCAAAATTAAGTAGAATTGAAAAGGAAGAGAATATATCCAAGTTAAGATGTGCATATAAAAAAGAGGCAAAAGATCTGTAT